ACAGTGATGATGAATTTGAAGATGAGGATTGTACATCTGAGTATAAAGTGAATTAGTCTGATAAATTAGTATTTCAAACAATTTTTTTTTTATGTAGAGTTAGAGCCTCTAAGTAAAACCATAAATAAACTACTAGATTTCACTCCCTGTATGGTTTGAAAACTGAAGTGAAAGATTTAAGTTGGACTTCAATTAATAAAATGCAGAAGGTCATATAAAACTTTTTACATAAGAACAATGTGAAATGTCTCCAAAGATGCAACTTTTATGGTGTTATTATAGATGTAATCCGAACTTGAAAAAAAGCTAATCATTGGTGTAAAATATGATCATGAAGGCAATGTCGATACATCCTATCTAGGGATTGTAAAGCTTGATGATGGCAAAACCCACACAATACTCAACATTTGAAGGATACCTTTGATAAATTAGGAGTAGACAAAAAAATAGTAAGTTTATGTACAGATGGAGCTGCTACTGTATTAGGTTACAGAGCTGGTGTAGGTGTACAAATACAGTCAAAGTTCTACCCATTTGTCTCAGTTGAGACTATCAGTGATCTTATTTATAATGAGATGGAGACATATGTTCAGATCTGTGGTGGTCCTCTGGGGGACTCTGAGGCTGTATTTATGAGCTATCCTCAACATTTTGGAAATACTTTAGATTATTCACTTTTTCCAGTGTCTTCTTTCAATTTATTGGATTTTCAGCCCCACTGTGTGTTAGTGGTAAGTTTATGGGCTCGCAGCACCAGATTTTCATTCCCTAGGGTGGACGTGGCAATGGTACATACTTACTCTGCTGTAACAAAACATCTTACTTTACCACAGTCTTTAAATGACCTATAAAAAACGATAAGGAGGTCACATTTGAACAAGCTGCCTTTGATTTGTTTTTCGTCTGTTGGTTCTTCGAGTATGTGATGTTTTGGGCTTTTCCCCAGTTGCTTTTGAGCCTGCAACTTAATTGATGGCTGAAAGGTCTGGGAGCATATTTTTTGCTTTTGTACTTTTCCCATACACGGAAATTGTGGTTCATGCTGGAAGGTTTACTTCTTAGTTACATGAAGGGATAGTTAGGCCTTATCCAACACACTGTCGAAACTTTGTTATTTTGCCTAGCACCATGTGGAGGCATTTTTCCGACTCAAATAATATCTACTTCTTGAATTTTGAGGTTTTAAAGCAGAATTTGTAGTTCACCTACATAGGTCTACGTCCCATGATGGGACAAACTAAGACTACAGACTACAATTCAACTTCATCATTTTGTTTCTGTTCACTTCACTTTGTTAGAAGACTCTCAGGATCACCATTTTCATTGAGGACAAGATCAATCCATTGTTAGCATGCACATTGGTTCAATTTTCGGCTTCTACATTCCTCTCAGTTGTTGTTGGAGTCTCGAATTTCATTGGCTCCTACAGGGGGGGGGGGCGGAATGGTCAGGTGGTTAGGGCACTCAACCTGCAATCTGAGGGTAGCGGGTTCGAATCCCTGTCCTACCAAACATGCTCGCCCTTTCAGTGATGGTCATTTCCACTATTTATTCGTAAAACAGTAGCCCAAGAGTGGCGGTGGGTAGTGCTGACTAGCTGCCTTCCCGCTAGTCTTACACTGCTAAATTAGGAATAGCTAGTGCAGATAGCATCGTGTAGCTTTGCACGAAATCCATAACAAACAAACAAACCTACAGAATAGATTCTGACTATATCCAAGGTTTTGACTGTTTTATCGGATCACCAGTAGCTTCAGTGATTATTGTGTATCTTCAGGAGCTGTGGGGGCTCAGTTCCAAGAATTATTGGTTGTGTGGTAATCTTAACCATTGGTTCAGAAGCTCTGCAGGTCCTTGGGTCACAACTGATCATTCAGTTCACATCTTCCCCACTATTATCCATCCAACCTGTAGGGTTTCTGTTTCATCAGGAGTTGGAACTTAGTCAGAGGATTATCTGGGGGTAGTGAAAGAGTCTGGCTAGTTCTTCAGAGTTTTTATTCCTGTTAGTCATTGGGCTTATGAAGACAGGAGATTGGTGTCAAGTCATTGATCTTCCTTGTCCATATGAATGCCTAGATTCTTTAAGATTCACAAGTTAATCATTCTTCAATCTGTGTTAAATTTTTTACTTTGTTTTTTAACTTGGTTGTTGTCTTTTGGGCTTCTTCAGGAGAAGGTTTGTCTGCTTCGGTGTTGCTTACTTTCTCATTGTGATTCTGGTGGTTTGGTACACATCACTCTATGACTACAGGTTGGGATCTTATCAAAAGTATATATATATATAACATTGCAATCCAATTGCCCTAGCCACCAACATGGGATATAGGGATCAAGACCCCTTGGTCCTTAAATCTCATGTCCCTATATCCCAACTCTGAGTCGTGGAACCACGGCTATCTGCTTGGGGCTGGCCTACAATGATGATCACTCATGTATAATTCTATCCTTGATAAAGGAACTAAGTTCAGGATGAAGAGCATACCTGTTCTGAATTTACTGCAGTTCCTGCACTCGGGTACCACTCTTATCTTGGTACACCCATGATCTATGCAGATGCATTCTATATGGATAATGCCCTCACTGGCCCCTCCACCTTCTCAGTGTGGGATTCTATCTGTAACGAGCACCAGAGGTAAGTATGTTTTGGAAGTTAACATTTTCCTAAATTGAAAATGTATTTCCGATAACGCTTACCTCCGCTGACACTCTCCCACCCTTCATTCCAGTAGGAGCCGGTGTAAGAGACTGGGATGGCAACAGTCCCAAAAAAGTGTTTTTAAATTATCTGAATGAAGTGCTTATATACAGTACCAGGATAGAGGACACAGTGATGTACACTTACAATATCACAAGACAATTATTGCCAAGGGCAACTTAGTGGGGTATAAAAGACTGGAGCAAGCAAAAAAAAAATCAGACTAATAGATGAGCAAAGAAGAAACCCTGGGAGTCAAGTAATAGCTATAAGTGTCAGCAGAGGTAAGTATTATTGGAAATAAATTTTCAATTGAGGAAAATGTTAACTTTATTATTTTTTATCATAAAGATTATTTCCTGCTGTTAGCTTACTCTATTGATTTAGAACCTAAATGTACTAAGCTGGCCAACATAAGTACAACCTTTACCACAGTGTGTCATAACAGCCTAAATAATTGAAACTTTTACCACAGTTTGGACACACAGTGGTAGTTAGAATATTTAAATAGATCTAATTTCACCCTCCATTATTTAACTAATTTTGTATTTATTATTTAATTATAATGATTATTTTGCATTGTTAACTTAGTACCTGATGACACTAGGAATAGCCTTCTGGGCTTGCTGAACTATTGGGTTTATGGCCACAAATATTGTGAGCACCAAGGGTACCCAACTGATGAAACAATGGATTCTAATTATTATGAGTAATATAACATGAACATTGTATTTAATAAGCTATACTCATTACTAGATATGGTTTTTCAGTTCTTAACTATGTAGGTAGCTTCATCAGAAGTTAATTGTATGGAAATCAAAGTAAAAGTAACAAATGTATAGGCCAATTACTTCCCTAAAGCAAAATTCATGTGCTTGTATGGAACGTAGTGATAGTCAATAACATCGTAAATGTTTAATATTACATATTTACAAGTTACGTTAGCAATAAATCGAGTACAAATCAGAGAATATACTTTCAAGTTAATGGTATGGGAAGGATCCCATAGTTTTTTTTTTTGCAATGTACATTTATTAATTTTATTATTACTGTGTTTGTATATATTTGTTTTCATTTTTCTGTACACTAACAATGATTTTTGTTAACACTAAAATCTTCTAGCATTTTTTTGTTTATTGGTTATAACTACCACAGTTTTTTTTTCAATACAATAATAATAATTTATTTTAACAGTAAGGTTCTTTGCATTTGAAGAGTATTGTGTCAAGAGCTCTAGGTCATGGAAATCCAACATTTTGGGTTTATCCCTTTGAAAACAGTCCGTTACACAGTTGAGGGTGCATCTGCCATTTTGGCATGTCAAATGTGTATTTCTTGAATATGCCTGATTTTAACAAAAGAGTCTTTATGACATGATTTGAATAAAAAGTAACAAAGGATGGATTATTAATATAAGTAAAAATTTTATCTTGCTTTATTTTATGCAATTTTTCAGACAGATGCCCTTTGTCAGGCAGTAAATACCATGTTACGTAGAAACTAGGCTAAGAAACATCTTTGAAGGGTTATAGTGTATAGAGGTTCTAATTGCACATATTCCACATGAAGCACATTAACAAAAATATTGTTTGAGGAAAACATTGTTCAGCTTTTTTCTTAAATAGTATTAACATTTAGCAAGAAAATGAAAACTTATAATTAGAGGAACTGAAATTGGGTTTCACAAAATAAAAATATAAATACAGAAAGTAATAAAAATAAATTAACAAAATGATAATTAAGAGAAATATTTTTAAAAAGGGGGAAGGGTTTCACCAAGGTATGGTTGAAAAGGAAATTGAACAAAGAGTAAATGATGAGGAAACCACATCGACATCTAGAAAAATGTTTAAGTGAATATATTTTTCTAAAATTATTTTAAACTAAATTTGTTGTTAATTCCATAAAAGGACATGGTGTTGAATTGGAAGTTAAGGCAATGTCCTATGGTTTCTTGTTTTAACTTGTTGAGTGCTGCATTTTTGATGACTTAAGACTTGCAGTCAGAGGGACCAGTAAGTACAGATTAAAGTGTATAGGAAGTGGGAGGTCAGTGTAGCCTTCTTTTTTTCACAAATCTAAGACGTTTGCAAAAATGTTCACCAAGGCTACGTGTTGTTTCTCCGAAATATAGTTTATGATACTTGCTGTGCTGGATACAGTAAATGACACATTCTGGCATGCAGATGTAATGTCCTATATCTTTGTGAAATTTATTACTAACCTGTTAAAGGGATATTATGTTAGTATTAAGGGGATTCTATCATTCTGATTTATCTCAGTTTTGTGAACTGTCCTTTAGGAGTGGCAGCCTTGGTTTTGTAGAGATGGAAAGAATGCTAGTCTAAGTAAGTATGACTTTCAGTGTCTTTTTAGTGTGTGGTTGTTTTAAGTAAGTCAATTGAGATGTGGATATTGATGTCAAGAAATGAGGCTCTTCCATCAGAGATTGGTAAGTGTATTTATGGTCTGGGTGGAGTTGTCGGAGAAATTTGATGACCTGTTTTACTTGAGCCTTCGTTCATGTAACACTGCCAAATATACTTGAGTAAGGAAGCACATTATGCTACTATAATAATAAATTGGCAAACAACTATTATAAGTATAATGAAGTGGTTTATTTTGGGGGTGTACTTGAAGAAGACAGACCAATGTTCTGTCAAAACATGTAGTATTTTCTCCCAAAAATTAGCCACTTCATTATGTGTATAAGTCATCGTTTGTGAATTTATTATAGTACCTAATGTAATGAATAAAGAAATTATGAAAAGATTTCCATTTAAAGTTGTATGAAGGTGTTCCTCAAGGTACCAACAAACAGATTAGCAAAGAAAGAACCCATTTTCTTGCCAGCAGAAACACTCTTGAGATGTTGATACAGTTGGCCTTTGAAATAATTCAGCTAGTTGAAGGAGGGTTTCATTTGTAGAAAATTTGGTATCTCTTGTTTAGAAAGTGTTTCAGAGCTTGAAGATTACCCATGAGTAGTAATTACTTTGATTAGTGTCAAATCAACTAAACAAAATTAGTGTTTCCAATTATTACTATTTTTGATTATTCGAAGAATCGATTAATCCAGTTTTTCCATTATTCCAACTATCAGTTACTTAAAATTATGTCAGCTGCTTCAATTATTATGTATGTGCTATTCTTGAGTGAAGATTTTTTTTGTTTATTCATGTTACATCAGGGATTGATTTTCTTTTGATTTAGTGCATTCGTAAAGGTAGATGAATGTGTCAAGAGTTGGTAGTTATTCTTTTCATGGTGTCCATTTATACTGTTTAGATCCCAGTGATTTAATAAGTTGTATGCAGAAATAATTACAGTTTGGTATGTTGTAGTCAACAGTATTTGTGTTTCTAGTCTGAGACTCACTAGTAAGCTTTTGATTGTCTGTTTCTCTTCTGATGTTTGGAGGTTTTGTATCGACAATAGTTTTAGTACTGAAATGTTATATGAAGTAGCAGCATCTGAAACATCTTTCTGCATCAGCATTAAGAGTATATTTATTGTATTGAATACAAGAAAGTACAAAAATTTAGTCCTTTGGAAAAATTTCATTCAGCATCATTTAGGGGAAGATTATCAGGAATAGTTTAAACTTTATAATAAATAATTCAAAACAAGGTTTCCTATTTATACAAAATGGATTCCACTTTAAAATGATACTCTACATGTATAAGTTTTGACGTGATCTACGTCATCTACAGGAGTTACTTACAAGACATGCTTTATACTTTTACCCATTGTTGCATTGCTTCACTGTTATTTGCATATTTCCTTGGTCTGCTCTTTTTTTTTTAATAATTATTATTTTTTATATCTTGCCATATATCAACATATTGACTTTCTGGTCCTTCATCTCTATTTAGTACTTTTTTTTTATATTTCATTATTTCTAATGTTTATCTAATATTGAATGCTATAATACTATGAGGTTGAGCTAGAATTAAAGTTTTTTTTCCCATAATATTCTATGTTGGATAGTTTTTACATGTTATAACTGAGGTTTCTATTTTGTTATTTCTTATATAACCTTTATGTACTTGCAATCTGTATTTTAAATTTCTTTTTGTTTAACCAATGTAAATACTACTACATTCACATTCTATTTTGTAAATGCTCATTTTATCTGTTAATTCTATTTTATTTTTAGTATTCCCTATCATGTCTTTTACCTTATTTATTGGGTTGAAGATAGGATAAAAATACTTTATATAATTGACTTGTTAAACCTGGAACATATGGTAAACTTAAAGTTTATTTTTTTTCATAAATAGATCTTAGTGTGGTGTTTTTAACTACATTTGCACCTATGTTAGATTTATTAACTGCCTTGTCTACACAAAACTTCTCTGCATTTTACTCATATGTTTATAGAGCTTTAGAAATATGTTCAAGACAGGAAGATTTAAGTAATGAATTGTTATTAATTAAGTATATAGCTATTGAAAGAGGATTTGAACCAAGTATAGTAGACAATGGACTTATGAAATTTAACAAAGGTGCAAATATAGTTAAATATACCAAACTAAGATCTATTTATGAAAAAAAAAAGGAACTACGTTTACCTTGTATTCCAGGTGTCCATCAAGACAACTCAGCAGGCCAGGCTAAAACTGCTGTCTTCATAGCAACTGCCATTCATTATAAAATATTCATTGGTATTGTTTAAAAAGAGGGGGGGGGGAAATATGGATGATGTAGGGATGGCAATGCTAAAAAGTACAGAAACAAGGTAGAGATGAATACACAACATCATACAGAGATTCCTACATAAGTAGCCACTGAGTCAATGTTACAAGCTTATGGGAATTAGCCATTGTAAGACTTTATACTACTATTCATTTTAAATGCTTTTATTCAAACCTGAATTCATGCATATGAAAGGAACTCAACATTTAGTTGCAGATAAAAGTTTTTCTTGGAAAAAATTGGCTACTTATGTAGGGATTTTTTTATGTTTTTGTGTATTTATCCCTACCTTTTTTCTGTACTTTTTGGCATTGCCATCACTATATCATCCTTATTTTTTTCATTTTTCTTTCTTTTGCTTGTTGTACCTAAAGACCAATTGGTTACCATGCAGGTATTATATATATGGGGTTCCTAAAATTCATGAGGATGGTTGTCTGGTTAAAACTTTTAAATATAAATGAATATACTATAAAAACAGTTTTAAGTTTTCACAAGAAATAAATAAAATTGAATTTCATAAAAGAAGTTTATTGTGCTAGTTTTGATTTAGAAAAGGCTATAGAGACTATAAATTTGTGCTCTACTGTACATCTGTTTCAAGAACTCATGAGTTATGCCACTAAAGAATCCCATATATTGTTTAATAAATATTTATGATCAACTTGATGAAGGCTGCTACTGGGTCTAGATTAGCTGCATCACTATGTCACCATGAAAAGTGTGGCTAGAAAAATACCCAGTACAGTTTAAGCTAGTATAATACAGAAGATATGTAGATAATACTTTTATCGTGTTTAGAGAAGTTAAACATGTTGAGTTTTTAAACCACCTTAATAGTAATAATTCCAACACTAAATTCACCATGAACACCAACACAACCATGTACTTTCATTTATTGAACTATTTATTCATGACAGTGATGGAAAATTTGACTGTGCAGTTTCCATAAGCAAATGCTTACAGGATTACATTTCAACTTTGATAGTTAAATATCATTGTCTTTTAAGAAATATTTAATGAAAATACTGGTTCATCCAGTAAATGGGTTAATCAGTAAATATGAATTTTTTCATAAAAGAGATATAAAATATTAAGGAATTCTTATTAAAAATTCTTTTCCAACAAGAATTATAAATCAAATGAAAATTATTTAATAAGACAGTCCTTTTTATACATCCAATTAAGGTGTGACAAAAAAAAAACTTTTTGTTTTATCATGCATTGGGAAGCAGGTGATTGTAATTAGAGATCAGCTGAGCAAGCTTATCCATCAAACTTATCCTCAAGTAGAGTTGTTTAAGCCTGTATGTAGATTACAGTATTTTTTCAGATATAAAGATTGAATATATGATACAAAACTTGTGGTATATGAATATACATCTTCTAATTGTAATTTAGATTATATAGGTTCCACCACTAGGTGGTTAACAGCATGCATACAAGAAAATGATAATTTGAGATCTACATCATACTCAAGTATTAAGAGACATGCATTGTACAAGTGTGATGAATGCATAAATGGAGAACAATTTAAGATGCTTGCTGTGGCTAATAATGAATGAAAATTGAGTATAAAATAAATTATTAATTAATAGAGTTTATGAGTTTGTTGCTGTACTAATTTAGGATATTCTTTTTAACAAATTCTTAAAAAATGTTAAAAGAGAGAGAGAGAAATGGGACCTGTTGAGGATGTTTGTCTGGGGCCCGTGCTCTCTACTTTCCTGCATGTATGCTACATCTAAAGATAGTAATAGTTAAAAGACGTCATATAAAGTTATATAAATAGCATTAGTATGTAGAGTGATAGAAATAACTTTGATTTCATTGACATATCAAATTAACGTTGTTACAATTAGGGTTGCCACATGAACAGCTATAAAATAAGGAACACATTCGTTGGTATTTGATTATTTTCAGCATTGTCTTCAAATCAGAAATTACTGTAAGTTTTAATAACATAATGATGAACCCTCAATGAAATAAGGAAGGCTTCCTTAACAGGCTAAGCATTGGAAAATGTTATAACAGAACATACAAATAAGGAACTTCTGCCAGCAAAATATTCCATAAGTCAATCACCTTGTTATAGAATTTTAATTTTATATTGCTGTAATTCTGTCTTAACTTGAGCCCAACCTACATTTTTCCAAATTTTAAATTTGCTTTGTCTCATCCTATTACTCTTTCAAATGTAGCATAAAGAAATCAGGAGGTTTTATTCTATCAATTCATTGGATCTTATAAATTTCAATAAGATCACCCCTTACCCTTCTTTTCTCAAGAAAAAATAAAGTAGGTGATTTTAACCTGCCTGTGGAAGATAATACCCATCCAAAGAAACAATTGATTAGACATCTCAACCATTTACATTCTGTTATATAAAGCATGTAGTTAAAGGAATTTGATGTTGGAGCAGTATTTTAATTACTGTAGTACTTAATAGTAGTGATTGAAAAAGATTCCAAATAATTCACTTGCCAAAAAAACCACCCTATCGAATTCTTAAGCAAAAAACTAACCATTTAAAGTATTGGTTATGAAATATTGTGCACATATATACTAATAATATGCTAAAAAGGTCACTAACATTTCCAGTATAACAATTCAATAATTTTTAAAACAGAAACTTTTTCATCTACCTACCTACCTGATTTTGTCAGTGGGGCTAGCACCTAGAAAGCTTGGACAATCACAACAAGATTTCTCCAGCTTACTTGAATGGTTCGAGGGTACCTGCTTTTGATATTCTGATAAAAATCCATACATATACAGGTATAATATAAATGGCAAACATATCATGCACATACGTAAATATATTTTCAACCCAACATATGGCGCTACATATCGATGGATAGACACATGGCAGTTTCTAAATGTAAAGTATATACTTTATATAGGTACAACATAAAATGTAAACAAACAAAATTGTTAAAAAATTATGAATTTTAAAATGAAGTACAGATCCTGCTATAAAAAGTAATGAAACAAGATTTAAAACCACAATCACAAACTTATAAAATTTAATCCTTATTTTAGCAGCTTTATATACTTATTTATAGGCCAGATCTGTCTCCTGTTTGAAAAACTGTGCATGTAGGCAAAGCTCAATATTTACTTTTGAAATGACAGGAGAACAGGCAAGAATAATGTTGATGCCAAATTTTATTTTGCAAGCAGGATATTCTACACTAAACTCTTAGGAATTAATCACACTATCATTTACATTTCAAAATGTGACATAACCTAAAGAATAAAAATGTAAATTTACTGTGAGTTATTGTTGAGTGGCTCTTAGCATGACTGAAATGCTCAAAAATTACTTTGGCTCTGAGTAAAACCAAGAGTACAACACAGTTAATCTTTTAAAAGTATATGAAGTAATTTAAATTGATAGATTAACTGAATTTTTTTCCATCACTGGGGATGGGTACTTATCTCCATTCACAAGATTAGCTATTCCCATTCTTTGCTGCCCTTTATATGCGAACTTTTTCTTTAAGCATGCCATAAGTCTTCCACTCCCCCTTATTGGAATTGCATGATTCCAACATGTCTGTCATGCAAATCATCATGCGTCACCTCCTCACCAATAGGAGCATCACATGCTCATGTGATGCATATGACTCCCTCTACACTCCTCTACTGAACTATCTCCTCGAAGTTTGGCAGTTTGAGGTAAAGAAGGTATGAATCTCATCCTACCCTCACATGGATGTCGGTACCCTGCGGGCAGGTTTCGGTTGTAGTTGACTTATCGAGTATCGTCCAGTGTACCCTACCCACTCAACAGCTAGAGGTACATCCTTTGTTTACCCACTTTTCTCATTGTGGGATTGAGTTACAGTATATTCTATGGTTAGTATCACTTTCCTACCACATTCTCTCCTACTCGGATGTGCTCCTTTCATTTTCTGCCCTTATATCTTACACATTCCACAGACTATACCAGGCTCAGAAGTGGTGTGGTTCTTCTCTTCTGATCTTTGGATCGAAATCTCTCATTTCCATTAGTATCCTTTGGATGATTTTAGAGGGTACTTCTGTCATTCCATCGCACCGATCCCTCCTCCTTATTAATCTGGGATTCTAGCTAATCTTGTGAGAGAAGGTAAGTACAGTATCGGAAGTTATAATTTTCCTATGCCGAAAATGTATTTCAGAAAGGTACTTATCTTATCTCAAACTTCCCACCCTTCCTCCCCACATTTCTCTGGTGCTGAAATCTACCAAATTTTGAAGTGATAGTTTGATAGAGGAGTGTAGAGGGAGTTACATGCATCACGTGAGCATGTCTTGCTTCTATTAGTGAGGAGATGGTGCATGATGATTTGCATGAGAGACATGCTGGAATCTTGCAATTCCAATAGGAGGGAGCAGAAGGATTGTGGCATGCGTAAAGAAAAAGTTTGCATATGGAGAGCAGCACTGAACGTAAATAGCTAATATTATGATAAGAGGTAAGTACCTATTGGTAGTACATTTTCAGTATAGGAAAATTATAAATCTTGCTAGATCAACTTTATCTGTCACCAGGGATGGGTATTTTTCCTTGCAATTTCTATAGGTGTGGGGGGGAGAGGTTTACTCATTTGATAAAAAAAAAGTAGTTGGAAGGAAGAATGCAGAGGGCTATTTTATAAATAAAGTTGAGTCAAACCTGATTAATGTCATAAGTGGGGTACCTCAGAGCCCAGTGTTAAGAAGACCTTTGTTCTTTTTATTTACAACAGTGAAATAGAGGAGGTAATGGTCAATAAATTACTTAAATTTGCTGATGATATTATAGTCTTGGATGTTGCTGGCTGTGAGGACAATACCACTGCTTTACAAAAAGAATATCTGGGAGTTGGGCAAATAAAAGCCAGATGATTTTGAATTATAAGTATAATTTTGAAAGGAATAACCTCAACATTGTTATGGAGGAAAATGAACTTGGTGTTCTGGCTGATCCAGTCTCAAGTCGTTCAAGCAGTGTGCTTTTGCTAGTGGTTGGGTAATTATGTTGTATTTACAGAAATATTGACCATAAGTCTAGAGAAGTTATAGTTTCTTTGTGTAGTTCTATGGTTGATTCTGGGGCTCCTTACCTAAATAAGAACATTGAATTCATAGAAAGGGTTCAGAAGAAGGTTACTGGGATGACACCTGAGATGTAAAGGTTGTCTTGCAAGGACATGTAAAGATTTCTGAAATTGTTTTCTCTTGAAAAATGAAGCGTTAAAGGGATCTTAGTGTTTGAGATTGTTAACAGAATTGAAATTTTTGATGCATCACCATTTTTTTTGTACTTAATGGTGAGAATAGTAGGACTAGTGAAGACAAATATAAATGTAAGGGGGAGCTTGATAAATACTTGAATTATCAGAGCTGGTCCCTTGTTATCCTTGAAGTTTAGGTTATATTATGAACAGCTGTGGTGAAAAGTTAAAATTTGGTAAGCTTTTGGTAAGACTTAATTTACAACTCAACAAATGAAAATAATATATCAGATAAATTATTCTGAGTGATACTTGGAAATATGATGAATTTGAATTACATAATATATTAATGTATGTGTGTGTTGACATATTACACAAAATAGGAAGTAACATTAATAACAGCAATTTTTAGTGTTACAAAGTGTGCAGTTAGGCTACTAGTATGATACTTTGTTGGAAAATTGTTAGCTATTAAAAAATGGCCAGGTATTATTATCTAAAGTATAAATGTGCATTGGTTCAAATGTTCAAAATGTTAAGGGTTTGGAGAAAGTGTGTACAAGAAGTTTAAATGAAATATGTTTAACAAAAATGACTAGTCATGTATGTCAAGCTAGTTGGTATAGGCAGGTCTTAGTTTACTAATTCAACTATATAATGTAAGATTTAAACAGTCGGGAATATCATTTTAGGTGATTTGTTCAGCTTGGAAATCAGACTTGAGGGAGTAGAGCCAGCCTGATAAGTCACAACTCCAGTGAAGATGACAGTCCAGCATCTAATGCAAGTACACACACTTTTGTTTGTTTTATCAATAAAGATATTTTTCATTGTGCATCACACTTTTGTGTGAGTCTATTTATCCCTCAGTGCATACTTAGTTTTAGCAGAATTCAGAATTATTCCATAATTTATCATTTTGAACCTCCCACTCTAAATAAAAATACTTAAGCGTTGTAAGACATTATAGCTGAACATAAAAACAAGGGACCTTCAAGGCTGTCCTTGTACACCACCCCTTTTCAAAAGCAATTTAAGCCTATCCATTATTTTCCAAGAATAATTAGTTTCCCTCTTAAACTCCTCTAAAGTTCTGGACTCCACTACTGCTGCCAGCAACATATTACATAAATCAATCACCTTATTATAAAAGTAAAACTGTCTTAATTGGAACCTGTACTGCCTTTCTCCAAATCTGAAACTTGCTTCCTCTCATCGTATTATCTTCAGAATAAAGCACAAAGAAATCAGAGGCATTTATTCTGTCCATTTCATGGATCTTGTACATTTCAATAAGATTACCATCTACCTTTCTTTTCTCAAGAGAAAATAAATTAAGTGATCTTAGCCTATTCCTGATTAGATAACCATTCAATCCAAGGAAACAATTTACTAGATATCTCAACCCTTTCCAATAAGTCAGTATCCTTTCACGGGTATTGTGGGCATACTTTGCCACCATGCATATAGTGTTTGTGCTTGACTTAAAATTTCTATATCTTTCTCCTAAATAAAGCATATATTGGTGGAATATTTCAAACGTTTATGAAGAATCAAATCTTAATCCTTTTCTTTTTACATGGCATTGGTGCTTTTGTTCTAGCTGGCAATTATTTTCAGTTTTTAATAATTGAAGTGAACTACTTTCTGCTGAATAGTATTAAAATTTCTTTCTATATTTTTACCTATTTTTTATTATATTTTTGAATTACAGAAACCTTCTCAACAGAGTAATCTCTTTTCAGCATTTTACTGTAATATTAGCAATATGATAAATATATCCATCCGATAAGTTATCAAGATTGTTGGTGTAAATAATGAACAGCAAACGTTTCTTAAAATACCCTTTCCAATATGATATCTTACATCTTTTCACAGAATAGCTCTTCCTGACATGTACTGTGCTCTATATATGCAAATTTTGGCTCACCATTAGTCTTGATACTCCCACCAACCTTCATTTGTTTTCACATGAGGCAGCTGCATGATAACATGCAAATTAGCATGCGACAATCATCCACCAATTGGAGCATGTCTCAACTCTTAGCACAGCTGACTCTCTCTATGCAGCTTAGCCCAAATTCACTTCTCAGTTGGCACTCATGGTGTTAAGGCATAATTTTTGCTTCTGCTTGACTTTATGGCATTTTCAATCAGATCCTTGTTTTTTTTATGGGAACATAGTTTTTCTTTATACTTGCTACACTTGTGTTGTGAAATTCTAGTTTGTACACATTAGCATATGTCTCTTTTATTCTAATAAGTGATTCTTTGGAGCTCATTTTTGGACTATTCTACTTCCACTCTTCTACCATTGTTGTTCTTATTACAGTTAACCTTACTTTGCCTACAGTGGCTTTAGGTCCACAATTGTCAGTGGGAGATGTTATGGTCTTGGTTCACTGGGAGTTGGCTACTTTCTTGCAGGCTCTTGATTCACCTGAGGATCTTGAAAACATGTTTCCTCCCATAAAGTGATACTTAACTACATTGGAAGTGTAGGTTTGTGGATCACATGTTTAGGGGTCAGTATGCCTCGACCCCCACATAATATGGAAGCCCATGCTATGTCTACATTTCACTTTTTTGGACTCCCAACAGTTGAATTCTCCTCTGCCTCTGTGATGTTCAGATCCCATATCTGCATCACATTATCATCCCTCTTTCATTCCCTTTCCTTATTAGGTTAATGTGGAATTCTAGCTACTGTGTGAGAAACAGTATGATATCATATCAGAAGTTAACATTCTCCTACAATGAAAATGTATTTCCGATAGATTCTTACCTCCACTTACACTTCCTGCCCTTCTTTCTCATTTTCAGTGACTTTTGATCCCTGTCACACCAAACATGCTCGCCCTTTCAGCCATGGGGGCATTAGAATGTGAAGGTCAATCCCACTATTCGTTGGTAAAAGAGTAGCCAAAGAGTTGGCAGTGGGTGGTGATGACTAGCTGCCTTCCCTCTAGTCTTACACTGCTCAATTACAGATGGCTAGTGCAGATAGCCCTCATGTAGCTTTGCACAAAATTCAAAACAAATGAACAAACAAATTCAGTGACTTTTCCTTTTCTGTTGTTCAGTCTCAAATTGTGTTTGGGCTTAGCTGCATAGACAGAGTCAGCTGTGCTAGGAGTTGTCACGCTCCTGTTGTTGGAGAGTTGTTGCATGCTATCACACAGCTGCCTCACATGAAAACACATGAGGGTAGGTGGGAGTATCATGGCTAGTGGCAAGCTAAAAGTTTCATATATAGAAGGCAATACAAGTGGGGAAAATGTTAACTTTATACACTTTCACCTGTCTGAAAAATCTGCATTTATTGTTACCCTCTGATTGCTTCCAAGCCAATATTATATTTCCTTTGAAAGATTTTAGCTAGTCTGTTAAGTGACTAACTTAACCTTTTGTATGGTACATTAGAGGCTTTTTGAAAATCTAGGTATACTTCTACTAGGATGTTCTCTTCTAAAGAAAAGTATTTATAAGCTTATTAAATCTGTGAGGAGAAAGATTCTTTTTTTAAGGCCTTTACTTTTGATAACTAATCAGAGCATTTATTTATTTTACATCTGCAGCATCGTAATAGATTATTATATTTTCGGATTGTACTGCTTTGATTGGAAACACTGAATCTTAATTTACCATGAGAAATAGTAACCCATGATTACTGAATGATCCTTGTTTGGTTTGTTCTTGTTTTTCCTTATTTATCTTTGAAAATGAGGTCTGTGCTGCCATCTCTTCATTTCAGTCATATGGAATCTTTTGGACATGTATTTTGATCTGCATGTTTTCAGCTAAACTTCCTTTGAATTTTTACTCTGCGGCTTATTGTAAATATTTTTGATTTTACTTTGGAATCTGGCTTTTGCCAATCAAATAACAAGAAAAGATTGTTATGTTGAGATAATGAACATACTTTATTCTGTAAAGGTCTTTGCATTCAGAACATGGGTCATTAGAAAAAAAGTTATTTTATCATATTACAAGAGTATTAACCAATTTGGTGAAGATAATATTTTAAACTGTGTATCAGATAGTTCAAAGTGTATTCTGAATCTGTCATTTGGCAGCATTGTTTAAAGACCACTGAAATAAAACTATGCAATAAAATAATAGTGTAAGCATGCTACAAAATTTAGGCTTAATGAGCTGAGTTTAAGACTTGTAAATATACACATACAGAACTGCTATGTGGGAAATTGGAATAGACGTACAGAGTAACAAATGTAATAATTTTGAGTTCCGAAACAAAAATATTAGAAATATTTGTAAATTCCAAAAACCAAGAATATTGTCCCAGTCTCCTGATAGATGCTTTTGGGATTCCTAAATGTCTGGTTTTGTTTTGTTAGTAATATTTAACTTTTTAAATATCATATTCAGTACTTTCAGCTTCTGACAGCCATGAACCAACAAATACATTTTTGTTAACTGAGTAAGGGAATTATAACACAGCTTGGAATGACTCAGCATTGCCTTTGCACCTTCCTCTGAAATTAGCTATAAGGCAGGCTCCAGCAGATGGCATGATGTCGCTGTTACCATCAGCAGCAGTGGAGTCCAGCACTTTGCAGGTGTTTAAGAGAAGAAATTGATAATGTTCTAAAAATAAAGGGTGGGTGTGCAAGGACAGCCTTAAAGGAACAAATGGGCTTGTGCTGTTCTATGTTATATCATACAGGCCTAAATATTCTCCAGAAATGGATATCCTAATCTATGCTTAGTGATGTGAAAAACTAAACATACGTAGACCATTTAATTACATATTAATAACATGCTGCATCAGTTCATTAACTAAGTGCCTTCAGTCATTGAGGTTTCAACCCATTAAACTTATTGCCTGTTATGAAGGTGCATTCATTAGAAAACCCCTCGACGTGGATTCCTGTACGTGGTGAGGGGACCTCCCAGGGAAGGTTCTGTATTTTCAGTTACTTTCACTGGGATCTAAACATCCACCCACATGTTTGCCGTGCGTGGCGACTCGTGAAGGGGAGGAGAGGATCCTAGTGGTTGAGTGGTGTCTGGGGCACTGCAACACACCACTTTGGCCTTGAATTCCTGTAGACTGGTGGCCATGGGGTGCCCCCCAGGGTCAGTCGGCTGGTCCACTGGGGCTAGGGTCAACCGAGTACCAGTGTTGGGCGTTCTCAAAGGGTGTTGTGGACATTGTGTCTGATACTGGTGTTTGGGTATAGTGCTTATGAAACCCTGGTGTTGCTGCAGTGTGCTTGTTTGACATTGTTATGCGTCCCCTCGTAGGACTCCATGGTGGGTGGGGTCAGTGGGAATTGAATCTCTCTCCTTAATTATGGATCCCCCCATTCCAAAGTAAAAAAAAATGTTAAAAATCTGCTCGTTGGTAAACGACCACGCCTAGAAGTCTCTGAATAGCAGTCTCCATCACAAAGTACACCTGTACCTCGCTTTTTGATCCTGCATTCACTGTCTGATAAATTTTTAGGGCAAATGTCTCCCTTTCTTATTCAGAAGGGCTTAGAGGGGCTTGCTGGCTCTCCAAAGTCAGTTAAGAAGCTCTGTTCTGGAGACATCTTAGTAGAAACATCCACAGCTAAGCACAGTGAACTCCTCTTGAATTCAAACCACTGTCGACCAACCAAGAAAAGCTAGTGAAAAGTAAAGAAGAGCAAATCGAAAGATAAATGGCAGTAAAAGACTGACTAGGTGCATGAAAATAAGTATATTTTCCCGTATTGAAGAGAGAAAGGTTGTGATACGAGAGCATATGCTCTATGGAACAACCTCTCCAATCAATA